AGAGAGCCATTGCGTGACGGGACCAAATAACGGTTGCAAAAGAGTCAAGAAAAGGGACTGCGTTTACAAAAATTTTGATTTCCTCTGACATAAAGAAAATCAGAATTATTCGTCTATAGTTAAACGCCCCAAAAATATAATTCCATGTAATTCTACCTACGGAAAGCAAAATGAAACTGTTGTATCTCCAATACATCCTACCCAAAGGTATATTGCGATCTCGAATGAGTGAAGATACATTGAACAAGAGAAAAGGATAATATTTCAAAGAGGGCTCCTTGATTAGTTGTTGCCTTTCTGGACTTTGCTCTCTGCGTGTGAAATACGTGACAAAATACATATTATTTACAAGGAATTAACACGCGACTGGGTAAAGTCCAAGGTAGCTAAAAGTGAATTTTATCCGTCGAAAAGTCAAAACGCGGGAGAATTGCGTGGAAAACTCGCTATCAGTAGCATTAAGTTCCAGGTTAGTTTTTTTTCAGTGGGGTTGGATAAAGCGGTTAGAATACGTGATAAAATTCAGGTTGTTTACAAAGAAATGGCATGTGAGGGAGCGAAGTTTAATGTGGCTAAATGTAATTTGATTGGTAGCATACAATTTAGATTTAGTCAAATCTAATTGATAATCATCAGCAAGATTAATTATTACACGAAAAGTTGGATCATCGAATGTTAACCTTATTGGATAGACATCGTTACCATCTGCATCTTGTGTTAGTTCTTTAATGTATCGGTCAAAGTCTTCATTTGTCCAAACACCTGAAGCAAAATTTATATTTGTAAAACTGTTGCTATTATCTTTACTATAAAAATTGTTTGATTTTTATATCCAGAGTTAACGTTAAACCATGAAAATGACATGCTTATCACACGATTTAACCCAACTTTATACTGATAATTACTCTCAAGAACAATAGGTTCAGAAAATTTAACAGTAAAATCTCCTGGTCGGTTATTGCCTTCTCCTCGAGCTGAAAAACTTGAAAGTGCTATGTGTCGTTCCATATATATATCTTAAGAAAAATATTTTTTAGTAATTTTCCTATATTGTAATTTGTTGATTTTATTATTCCGTATAAGCCATCTAAGATTGAGACTCCCATATTTCGTATTTCAATACTAGTGTTGCCTGCCATGATTTTACCGACTATGATTTGTAACTTTTTTAGTAGAACTTCAGAATTGTTATAAAAATAGACTCATTTGCCAAATGTTTTGATACCTGAGCCTTTTTTAGGATATTTCTTCCTATGATATTTGACATATTGCTGCAACTCTTGTTTTCGTTCACCAAGCTTTTTGCATTCTATATCAGCTTGACTTTTGCTGATTTCACCCTTATTTAATCTTCTTGTTACATGACTCTTATATCCAGCTATTTGTTTGGATCGGTATACTGCTGTTGCTAATGCTTATGTTAAGTATTTACTTACTTGACTTTCACTTGCTTCTTCTTCTTCTAGTTAATATAACTTATCTTGCACTTCATCATAACTTAACAGTTTAAGTTCAGATATTAAATCTTTTTCTTTTTCTAAATCATCTGCTGGTTCATACTCTGTTTCACTTAGTGCATAATCTATCTCTTCTGGATCTTCCTAGGGTGGTGAATCTTTCGGTTAGAGGTCGATAAGTTTGCGCTAGTGTATTATCATTGGTTTTAGTTGATATAATATTTGCTGTAACATTGTCATATACCTGATTAATTGCTCGGCCTACATCGCTCCGTCTTTTTTCATATTCTTGCCATGCTTTGAGATTCATATACCAAGTAAAAACATTAATTTTTAAGCGTTGTTGTGCATATTGTTATTCAAATTGTCTTGCATGCCTTAAAAAAGAATATTCTTTAATCTTATAAATCCGCATTCTAAACTACGATTCTCTCGCTGCTAAGACAAAATGCAAGCAATTAAAGTCTTTTATGCCTAATGATAATTTTAGAATGTTAATCTGTGGACCCAGCGGTTGTGGCGAGACTAATACTCTTATACACATGATTTACCAACTCTTGTATTATGATAAGATTTATTTGTATTCGAAATATTTAGAACAACCTAAATACACTCGATTACTAAAAAAATTTGCCTCTATTAGTACAGAATGTGGATATGAAGCTATTGAATCTAGTAATGATGAAATTATTCCTGTCTCTGAATTAAGTGATGAAAATCAAAAACCAATTATCTCTGATGACTTTCTTTGTGAAAAAAACCAAAAGCCTCTAGTTGAATATTTTATTAGAGGTAGACATAAAAATTGTAGTGTTATTTATTTAAGTCAATCTTATTATCTTACACCAAAAGATATTAGACTCATTTGTTCCCATTTTTGCATTTTTTGATTCACCAAGTTCAAGTGAGACTTCAAGAATGTGCAGAGAACTCAGTACCACTAGAAATGATTTCCTTGATGCTACTCGTGAACCCTTTAGCTTTGCCTACGTAGACAAGATTAACAAATTAATTAAAAAAAACTTCAATGAAAATATATAGATGGGTTATAGTGATGGTCAATTAAATTCAA